TATTAGTGATATTTCTTAAATTTACAGCTATTATTTGATTTACAATAACTGCATTACAAAAAAATGGCATATCACAAAACTCATTGTAACTGACTTTACAACATTTTTTTTTTTGTCATATATTGCTAGAGTATTTCACTAAACAGTAAAACAAACTTTTTTGAAACCCTAAATTGCCCGTCTTCTCTTCAAGAACTTCCAAGCTGCGCTCAACTCTTTCTTGCCGCCGGAGGAGAAGAAGGCCCTCATAGACCAGCTTCGTGAAGCCTACAGCTTCATCGACTACAAAGTCCCCTCGCTGCCCACGTCGTCCCCCCCAACGACCCGGTCTCCTACGCCTCCACTCAAGCCGAGCATCACCTTCGGCACTTGGGCGGACCGATCCTAGAGTGCGTTCTGTTGATGGTGGGTTCACAAAGAAGTGCGATTTTCACTTTTTGTTGATTTATGTATGTGTACTGGATAATGGTGATGATATCCACTGATATGAAATTTGCTACTGATTTTGTTTTGTACCGAGGTTTACAAAATTAGAAAGGTTTCCAGAAAAAAAATGTAATGCACTAGTGCTAGTACGCACAAATATACAAACACATATGCCCACGTCTGTACATGCACACCCACACCTACACTCACACCCACACCCACTTCCACACCCACACCAACTCCCACACACCAACTCCCACACTCCCACTCCCACTCCCACTCCCACTCCTACTCCCACTCTTACTCCTACTCCCACTCTTACTCCTACTCCCACTCCCACTCCCACTCTCACTCCCACTCCCACTCCCACTCCCACTCCCACTCCCACTCCCACTCCCACTCCTACTCCCACTCCCACACATAATCACACCCACATTCACCCCATCTATGATAAATATTATTTACACATTATTAACATCTCAGGGCCTGTTCTTTTGGGAACTTAAAAACTTAAAAAAAAGCTAAACATAATTAATGAATAAACTTTGACTAACTCATTAAAAAGAAAGACAATTTTCTCTTCAGGCCAGTGATCTAAAATGAAACGGGAAACACTTATAATGCAACACATTCATAAAAAAAAAATATACAGACAGACTTAATGTCTTTAATGGAAGAGAGTGCATGCAAAAATATATAGTATATATATGTGCGTGAAAAGGGAAACAGCCACATTAAGAATTATTGTGGCTGTTTTCCCTTTCATCTTTGTGTACACGTTTACTGTGTTTGTGTTTGTGTTCATATATGTGCATGTGTGTACATACATACATACATACATACATACACATACCTACGTACATACATACCTACATATATACATACATACATATACACATATACATAAATACATACATATATACATACAATATTCATGTATGCATAGACACATTATATATGTATGATTTATAAATAGATAATGTATTGTAATAGAAGTTGTAGTATTGTAGCCAGCATGTCGACCATATTTAAAATTACATTTGAAATTAATCAAAATTGACAGTGCTAAAATGTCAGTAGGCTAGAATGCTGTTTGTATGAAAGCGTATAATAATGAAATATTATACAAAGAAAATATTTTTGTTTTTATTTTAGATGTTCTTCACAACCTTCTATGTCCTTTCCGGTGCATAAAATAATGAATTTTTATAAATATTTGAGATATAGGTAATCCATCTAGCTATATATGTACCAAAAGGAAAAAATGTTTAAACTGTAATTTCTACTCCAAAAATTCTCTAAACACTTTATATGTCAATTTTTTCCTTCACTGAAGCTATGTCTATCTGATCTTCAGTGGCTGTAAATGAAAATAAATAACTTTACAAAGCAAGATTTGTAATTTGGTACATTTTTATTTGAACTGTATTTATGTTGACAAATGTAGAAAAGGTATGAATGAGAATGAATATCTTCACAACACAAGAGATGTATTTGACTGGTTTCGATTATATCTTTGACAGAAATACATGAAATTCTGACCAAGATATAATTGAAACAGGTCAAATGCATCTCTTGTATTGTGAAGATATTCATTCTCATTCATACCTTTTCTACATTTTTATTTGTCTGAATTATGTATAATCTGAAGAAAATTTAATTGAAATGTGTTGGTTACATCTCTCCTCTGTGAAGCTATTCATTCTCGTTTATAACTTTGCCATGTGTCAAAATAAATTAGTTCATTTTCAGAAAGAGAGCGAGAGAGAGAACAAAAATGTGTATAGTTTATTACATATAATGATAACAGTATATAGTGAAAACCTTTCACAAAATATAAGATGACTGAGATATAAATGTAAAGTATTTTTGTATGTCATCCATTCCATGTAATTTTACAGACTTTTTAAAAGATATATTGTCAAGACTTTTATCAACATATTTGAAATGGTGGTTTGGAGTATGAAAGGTTATCAACTGCATAACCATTATGAAATTTTGTTTTTATCATATTTCTTTTTTAAAGGACTATTGTTAAACCATTTCTGTAATTATAATAAATTTAGCATTCTTGGATGGTTGTTTTCTTTTGCTTTTTAGAATTAATAAAACTGCCTGGTTTGGGGGATCTGGTGTTACAAACAAATATGTTTTATGATTTAATTCTTTATCAGCATTTAAGGACAACTTTTTCATACTGAGAGTTACTTATATCCTGCCATGCTCTGTCCAGATGTTTATAATTTTTTTCCAGTTATCTGTTGAAAGAAATCTATCTTACTAGAAACAGGTTTTATGAAAATATATTGTATGTTAAACATCAATAATTTTTAACTGCAACCACAGGAAAGAAGCTAGTTAGTATCTTCTTAAGGAATTGTAAAACATAAGCAAAGATTTTGTAATATACTTTTTATTTATTCAAATATAGAATATAGGAGTAATCTTTGGCTTATAGTTATAAAGATAGATCAAACACAATTTCATAACACCCATACAAGTGTCAAGAAAATGAAAATACTAACACAAATTATAAAATCAAATAAATGTATCATTATGTTTTTTTTCCATGGTTTCATAACATTATACATTAATACAGAAGACAATAGTCATCTTGTACTATTTAGTAGAGTACATGACTACTGTACAAGACTAGTTTAAATAGAGAGAAATAAAACAATAAAGTGCTTTTCTTCACTAATAATACCAGTTAATATTCTACCAAATACAAATAGACATACAACCAGGAGAGAAAAATAATGTAGTGGTGTATTCATAAAATCCCTCATGCTATTAATTATTATAATGTTTTTGAAGGAAAAATAGTTCAATGTTCTCTTACTGTAGTTTTCTCTCAGCATTACAGAAATCTTGGCAAGGAATTAAAAAACAGACAGGAAAGCTGTTGACAATGACTTGACCTTTGGATATTTTATATTGGTTTAATGTGTCTTGGATAATTTCAAAGAGTAAGAACAGTAAAAGCAATAGTAATTTTCATAACTCATAACTACTCACAACTCTTCTAGCATCTATTGCATTAAGTCAACCAGTCTACAATATTTCATCTTTCTCAAATACGATGAGATACCAGTATTATTGCACTACTAAAAAAAAGAATAAAATAAAGGCTACCAAAATTGTACCATAATTTCTAATATGTTCGCAGTCACAGGTGTAGTAGGGACGGAATTTTAAGATCCTTCTTGACTAACTAACTGTACAGACCCATAGCAAAGGCACTTCGTAACATTTGGCTAGCAAACTGTAGGATATGAGGGAGCCCTTGACAGATACTATGGTATCTGTTAGATGTCATTTTTGAGAATATGGAAATAGGAAAGAAAGGATAGTCAAAGAGTCATAAATAAAAAGTATTGTAAAAGCTTTTTTGTTTACTTTGAATCGGGTGGGCTGTTATATTTTTCAAGATATAAGAGGTGGGTACACCCCCATCAGAAGATTCCAGGGGTGTTATTGCTTGCAGGTTATGGAACTGTATTTTATTGTCACCAGGGTAGTGGATTCCTTCGATCTCCACAAATTTAAAACTGTAGTTCATCATATGAAAGTTTTACAGCTCAATTCTTATATTAAAAAAAAATAATAAATAAAATAAAATTGTAAATGGCACAGATTCCACGTCTCAGTAATCCTCTTCATCTTCGTACTCATCTGGGTCTTCGGCAATCTCTTCGTAGTCCTTTTCGAGAGCTGCCAAGTCCTCACGAGCTTCAGCAAATTCACCCTCTTCCATGCCTTCGCCCACATACCTGTGAAAGAAAGGGAAAAACACTTAGAACAGAGTCTGTTTGGCACTAGTACACTGCCAAGGTGGTGGTAATGATGATGGTGATGATGAAGGTGGTGGTAATGATGATGGTGATGATGGTCGTGGTGGTGATGATTGTGGTGGTGATAGTGGTGATGGTGATGATGGTCGTGGTGGTGATGATTGTGGTGGTGATGATGGTGGTGGTGAAGATGGTCGCGGTGGTGATGATGGTGATAGTGGTGATGGTGATGATGGTGGTGGTGATGATGGTGGTGGTGAAGATGGTCGCGGTGGTGATGATGGTGATAGTGGTGATGGTGGTGGTGAAGATGGTCGCGGTGGTGATGATGGTGATAGTGGTGATGGTGGTGGTGATGATTGTGGTGGTGATGATGGTGATAGTGGTGATGGTGATGATGAAGGTGGTGGTAATGATGATGGTGATGATGGTGGTGGTGAAGATGGTCGCGGTGGTGATGATGGTGATAGTGGTGATGGTGATGATGAAGGTGGTGGTAATGATGATGGTGATGATGAAGGTGGTGGTAATGATGATGGTGATGATGGTCGTGGTGGTGATGATTGTGGTGGTGGTGATGATTGTGGTGGTGATAGTGGTGATGGTGATGATGGTCGTGGTGGTGATGATTGTGGTGGTGATGGTGGTGATGATGATTGTGGTGGTGATGATGGTGATAGTGGTGATGGTGATGATGAAGGTGGTGGTAATGATGATGGTGATGATGGTGGTGGTGATGATGGTGATAGTGGTGATGGTGGTGATGATGATTGTGGTGGTGATGATGGTGATAGTGGTGATGGTGGTGGTGATGATTGTGGTGGTGATGATGGTGATAGTGGTGATGGTGGTGGTGAAGATGGTCGCGGTGGTGATGATGGTGGTGGTGAAGATGGTCGCGGTGGTGATGATGGTGATAGTGGTGATGGTGGTGATGATGATTGTGGTGGTGGTGATGATTGTGGTGGTGATAGTGGTGATGGTGATGATGGTGGTGGTAATGGTGCTGATGATGGTGATGGTGATTGTGGTGGTGATGATGGTGATAGTGGATGGTGGTGGTAATGATGATGGTGATGATGATGGTGGTGATGGTGCTGATGATGGTGATGGTGATTGTGATAGTGGTGATGGTGGTGGTGAAGATGGTCGCGGTGGTGATGATGGTGATAGTGGTGATGGTGATGATGGTCGTGGTGGTGATGATTGTGGTGGTGATGGTGGTGATGATGATTGTGTGGTGGTGGTGATGATGGTGGTGGTGATGATGGTCGCGGTGGTGATGATGGTGGTGGTGAAGATGGTCGCGGTGGTGATGATGGTGGTGGTGATGATGGTGATAGTGGTGATGGTGATGATGAAGGTGGTGGTAATGATGATGGTGATGATGGTCGTGGTGGTGATGATTGTGGTGGTGATGATGGTGATAGTGGTGATGGTGGTGGTGAAGATGGTCGCGGTGGTGATGATGGTGGTGGTGAAGATGGTCGCGGTGGTGATGATGGTGATAGTGGTGATGGTGATGATGAAGGTGGTGGTAATGATGATGGTGATGATGGTGGTGGTGAAGATGGTCGCGGTGGTGATGATGGTGGTGGTGATGATGGTGATAGTGGTGATGGTGGTGATGATGATTGTGGTGGTGATGATGGTGATAGTGGTGATGGTGATGATGGTGGTGGTGATGATGGTGATAGTGGTGATGGTGGTGATGATGATTGTGGTGGTGATGATGGTGATAGTGGTGATGGTGATGATGAAGGTGGTGGTAATGATGATGGTGATGATGGTCGTGGTGGTGATGATTGTGGTGGTGATAGTGGTGATGGTGATGATGAAGGTGGTGGTAATGATGATGGTGATGATGGTGGTGGTGAAGATGGTCGCGGTGGTGATGATGGTGGTGGTGAAGATGGTCGCGGTGGTGATGATGGTGGTGGTGAAGATGGTCGCGGTGGTGATGATGGTGATAGTGGTGATGGTGGTGGTGAAGATGGTCGCGGTGGTGATGATGGTGGTGGTGAAGATGGTCGCGGTGGTGATGATGGTGATAGTGGTGATGGTGATGATGAAGGTGGTGGTAATGATGATGGTGATGATGGTCGTGGTGGTGATGATTGTGGTGGTGATAGTGGTGATGGTGATGATGAAGGTGGTGGTAATGATGATGGTGATGATGGTGGTGGTGATGATGGTGGTGGTGAAGATGGTCGCGGTGGTGATGATGGTGGTGGTGATGATTGTGGTGGTGATAGTGGTGATGGTGATGATGAAGGTGGTGGTAATGATGATGGTGGTAATGAAGGTGGTGGTGATGATGATGGTGATGATGGTCGTGGTGGTGATGATTGTGGTGGTGATAGTGGTGATGGTGGTGGTGATGATTGTGGTGGTGATGGTGGTGGTGATGATGGTGGTGGTAATGGTGCTGATGATGGTGATGGTGATTGTGGTGGTGATAGTGGTGGTAGTGGTGATGGTGATGATGAAGGTGGTGGTAATGATGATGGTGATGATGGTGGTGGTAATGGTGCTGATGATGGTGATGGTGATTGTGGTGGTGATAGTGGTGATGGTGGTGGTGAAGATGGTCGCGGTGGTGATGATGGTGATAGTGGTGATGGTGATGATGGTCGTGGTGGTGATGATTGTGGTGGTGATGGTGGTGATGATGATTGTGGTGGTGGTGATTGTGGTGGTGATGATGGTGGTGGTGATGATTATTGATGGTGATGATAGTGATAGTGATAAAAAAAATGATGGTATGACGATTAATATATAAAAAACAGGATCCACCTTGAAACCCGTTGGACACCAATCGACGAACTCAATACTCTTGGTGTTCTTGATAGCCTGAATGGCAGAATTGACATCCTTGGGCACGACGTCACCTCGATACAGCAGTGTCACGGCCATGTACTTTCCGTTCCTGGGATTGCACTTCACCATCTGCATCTCGGGGGAAAAGCACTCGTTGGTGAGCTGAGCCGTCGTCAGCTGGGGGAGAGGGAGGAAAGGTTGGAGATTATGATGGTGTCGAGAGAGGGAGGAAAGGTTGGAGATTATGATGGTGTCGAGAGAGGGAGGAAAGGTTGGAGATTATGATGGTGTCGAGAGAGGGAGGAAAGGTTGGAGCTTATGATAGTGTCGAGAGAGGAGGGATAGGGTTAATGGTGATAGTTTGGTTCGAGATTATAATGGGTGTCGAGAGAGAGGAGGGAAAGGGTTAATGGTGATAGTTTGGTTCGAGATCGTAATGATGCTAGAGAGAGGGAAAGGA